TTGCGCATGTGCGAGATGGTCCGCCATATTGGACAACTCCGTACGGCAACCCAAATAGGACACTTGACACAGTGGCATTTGGCAAAGCACAAAAAGAAAACTCAAAAAACCGAGAGAGACGAGTTATTGTTATTATAACGTGACTTCACTGGGTTCTTTTATTTGGGGTTAAGTACATTGTCAGAATAAGTGAAAAATGAATTTAACTTCTGTTAGACAATGTACTTAACCCCAAATAAAAGAACCCAATAAAAAGAGTTGTTAAATAATAGTGAAGTCACGTTGTAATAACAATAACTCATCTCTCTCGGTTCTTTGAGTTTTCTTTTTCTGCTTTGCCAAAAGCCACTGTGTCAAGTGTCCTAGTTGGGTTGCCGTACGGAGTTGTCCAATATGGCGGACCATCTCGCACATGCGCAATGCAGATCGGGCAGGGATGCAGATCAGGTAGTGACACACACAACCAGCTTTGGCCTCTAAAGCAGCCATTACCTGATCTTAAGCAGACATGTTAATAAGTACCACAGTTAAAATGCAGTAATATGTGCCGCTTCCAAACATCAAACTCTTAGAAAAAGGACTTGTCCTGATAATCAACTGCACACTTTTTTAAAGCAACACTGACAACTTGCGCCTGTGAGACATGTAATCTCTGAAAATGAGCAGACATGCATAACTTCTACAGTGAAAATCGGTCATACTGTAAGTGCAACTTCTGAATACAAAACTTTTTTGCACATTATTTACAATGCATAATTATTATAAAACCTTGGTTTTACAAACCTTACCATGCAAGAACAATGGTAACTGCAAGTGAGTGAGTGCAACAAAGTGTCTACTCTGGGATGAACAGCTGGGTTCTCAGTCTATTCACTTTTGGGCTCATCTTTTTTCCCTCAAGCTCCATCAGGACTTTTTGCACAACTTCAAAAGTGGATTGCAGTTCTTTAGGATATCTTAAGTTCAGTGCGTATATGAGCCCGAAGAGCATGGCAAAAGCTGTCGCAACCGAGGGCAAGCCGCTGAGGACCTCTGTTCCTTCGATGAGAACCTTGACGTCTTTGGGTCGATGAAACTGATCCTCTTTCCCAATGACAAAGATTGCCATTGTTGCCTGCTCCAGTTCTCCAGCCTCAGCTTCCTGCATATCATGCAAAAAAAAAGGGAAATGGATGAGGACCACAGAGTGTAGTTCAACAGGCCTGAAGCGCAAACGTTTCTCCAAATTTGCAGCTACCTTTTAAAAAAACAAGATTATACTGGATAGATGAAAAAAGGAAAGTTCTCAGTTCAGTCGGATGGTTGCCCAAGAGGAAAGCTCAGGAGGTCATCAAAAATTACTAGCTTTCTAACCAAGCAGTTATTTGCATGCAGTACAAATATGTTATTTTTCTTTTATGAACAAACATCTTGTGAGTGAGTGGGAGGTCTTACTTGGAATTCTTTGATGAGATGGTGAACAGGTTCACCCAGGTAGATCATTAGAGATTTGAGGATGCATTCTCTTCTGATGGTGATGTCCACAGTCTGAGTAAGAACAGTTATATATATATATTTTAAATCAAATGCAAAAAAAAGGACTATTCAGCCACTGATCCCACAGATAAAAAACTCATTCATAGATACCTCATCTAAAACCTGCAAGATCCCGGTGGTCTTCTGTTTCACAACTCCTCCCCTGCTCCTGATGACCTGCAGCAGTTTAGTGGAGTGTTTGTCCAACTGCGCCAAGAACTTTGTCTCCAACGGAAATGTTGTTATGCGCATGAACTCAGCATTTACCTAGAAAATATAAGCAGCATAGAAAACAAAAAACACTGAGAATTTATAATACACATATTTTTTATAAAGAGCCAACGTTTTGATTAAAAGTACTCCAAGTCAGCTTGTATGAATGTAACATTTAAATTAATTAATCCACATATTTATTGAAAACCACCACCAAATAAAGACACAAAGAGTCATAGATGTAAAGCTTATATTGTGATATATATTAAAAATAAAAACGTCAACATATTTGCCTAGGCTGTCTATAGTTGTTAGTTAGTTGGGCCCTCATTTCTTCTCCACTACAAGCTTACAATCAAGGGTTTCATCAAAAATAATTACCTCTTCCATGTGAAAAAGTGCAGGCCACCGCTCCAAGAGGCCTTCAATGCTTGGCCTCTGATGCACTATTTCTTGTCTTCGGTATCCAAACGTCTTCGCCATCTTTTCTTTTATTGATTGCCGGTTGTTTCTTTTCTGTTGTTCTGCCAAAAGGGAAATTCTCTCTTGCTCCATGCTTTCTGGAGTCTCACCAATCGGCAAGGATGGAAAATGGTTGGCCTCAGCTCGCCTGGCTCTCTTTAAATTCTTCGCAGGGTAGGACTCTTCTTGAGACTTGGTCTTCAACGAGTTCACAGCGAGCTCTGCAGATGTTCCGTGTGCTCTGAGTAGAGTCCGGTAGTTGGTCATTTTTACCTTCATCCTTTGTTTCCATCCATAGCTCTCATTGAAAGACCCTGGTTCCTTTAGGCAGGGATGCTTGCTTGTCAATGCCTCAGCAACATCGCTAAAGTCAGCATCTGTAGGGTATGCTTTGTATGTGTAGACTTTATCAGCCAGTTTCTCGAGTATGTCTGAAAGCATTTTTGAGCTTAGTGTCAGTCTAGATTGGTTCTTTGTGTACTCTGCATTTTCTCTCTGTAATTGACATTCTGTGTCATAGGAGAAGACCGGGATTGGAAACACTTTAGGCCACTGCTGTGTTCTTAATGATTCCGAGGAAGAGCTGCTAAGTAGTACTGTGTCATCTGTATTCACAGATCCAGAGGAGGAGTCTTCACTGTACAGTCCACTTGTAGGGGTACTATTTAATGGTATCTCAACTGGGTACAAGACCACAGTTGTAGAATCGGGGTCTAATTCGACAACTTTGATCACTGTTAAATCTTTTATCACATGTGTCGATGTAAGATTAACAAATGTGTTCCCAAAATCAGTGTCTTTGTACTGTAGTCTTATGTAACCTTCTAATCCACATGAATTCTTGACCTCCTCAATGAGCTCTTCTATTGAGTTGGGAATCCCATTTCGAAGCTCCAGTCTTACGCTGTTGTCGTCGTTTAAGATGATCAGCAATCGAACAGGTGGTTCAATATCAGCCATGGCGCTCTAAGAGAAAGAGAGAAATAGAGGGAATTAATGAAATGCAGGTGTACACTCAATGAATTTTTTCTTTTCAAATTGCATTGTGTTATACTTTACAAAGTATTACATACAAAGTTCATATATATATATACTCATTCTGACCTTATACATGAATGTATCTTTTAAGAGTTATCAGCCGCATTCCCCCAACTGTATAGTCAGCCAATGGGTATGGATCAGTCAGTTCATTTGAGTCAAGAAGTTCCACCTTCTTTGTAGGACACGGTTTCAGTTCATAGGCTCTGTAATGTTCCCTATACCATGCACTCAGCTTTCTGATGATGAAAAGCAGCTTATTCTTGATAACAATCATCTGGATTGTTTCCGTGAATTCCGGCAGCCCTGCCAAAGAGCCATGTGCCAGGATCATCCCAATCCTGTAATTTATGCGACTGTAAGATGCATTTTTGACCAAGCACACAGCATCTAAGTCTGGGTGCCTCTGCTTAATAGCAAATGCAATGTCCTCTTTCAAAAGGTCAATGGGAAGAGTTGAAACACTTGCTACCTCCAGGGGGGATTCAGGCAAGCTGGACAGGTAAAGGTGATGTGCCATGAGAAACTGATGTCGTTCAGCTAATGACAGTAGCACATTTCTGAAGCAGGTGGAATGCCGCACAACTCTTTTGAAATAGCTGTGCTTTGCTTCAAAACGCATGGTCCATAGCGCAACCAATGGCCCGAACTCACAGATTAACTGCGGATAATGCTCCAAGTAATGGTGTTTAGGTCGAAAGTTTGAGTCTGGGAAAACCTCCTTAAATCTCAATCTGTGCTCAGAGATCTTGAAGCTCAAATATCCAATTGACTCAGGAGTATGAACTGGAGAGACAACCAGGTCCACAATGTCTTTTAAATCACCAAGAAGTTGCCAGGCTGGTTCATTGATGGGCACTTTCTGTCCAAGCAAAAGTGTAAAAAATCGTAGTAAACTCCAGTTTTCGTGTGCATTTCCACCAATTGTTTTATTGGATGCATAGGCTAGTGGAACAGGGTGGGGGTGATTGGTTCGATCAGTCCATTTATAGGGAAAATCTTCTATCGCCTTGTTCAAAGTGGCCAAAGTAAAATATTTCTTGGAAATGAATACAGTCAGACAGAGAGCTATTTCAACAGGGATTATTCCCTCGAATAAATCATGGACAATGTCTGGAGGAAAACCAGTGGTAACATTGAAATGGGAAAGTTTTTCTGAAAGAACACAGCTTCTCTTAACACCATAACAATTGGCCAAAGAATTTTCCTCAATGGTTTGCAGATGATTTTTGTGATTCTCCTCAGTTCTCCGAGAAAAGCATCCAGCTTCCCTGGCCTGGAAATCTAATTTATCGGCTGTACAAAACCTGCAACTAAATCTGCTGGAAAAACTCTCAACAAAACCAGCAATACCGTGTGCTCCAAGGTTGTCAGCAACAACACACTGCACTGTGCCCTTTAAATGTTTGCCCAACTTTTCCACAAAAACACCCTGTTGTTCTAATGTTATGAGATCCCTTAACAAAGGTTCTAACACTTTTTCATAACCATAGACTTTCACATCATTGGTATTAATCAATGCAGCCAAATGAATAGAGGACAAGGAAGAATAACAATCCAATATAAGGCACAGATTTTGTGTCTTCTACGGGATGTTCCAAGTGGATTGCATATTTCAAAATCATCAACATACAAAATCAAAGAAATCGAACACTCTTTTGAGAGAATAGAATGTCTTTTAAAGAGAAGACCATCCCAAAAAGATCTGTATACCTGCTTATCTCTCTCCCTTTGCTGATATTTTTCCTTCAAATTTACAGCCTTATTAAGTATAGTTTCACAGTTTAAAAGTTGCTGCAAAGATTTTAGTATAGGCACATACTGAAAAAAACCTTCTATTCTTTCGGTCTAACACATACTCCACTGGTTCAACAACATTAAAGTGTTTTCTATAATATTTCTTCCGTTTCCAAGTGGTTGACAGTGGACCACGGTTTCCTATTGCAGCTTGAATGGGATTCAAAGTGCAAAGTTCAGTGGCCAACTCTTTCACAACTGATTCATCAACTTGGCAATTGCGATCTTGTAAGAAGTGGATTATAGTCTTTTGGGTAACTGGCAGAGAGGCAGTACCAATTAAATATTGCAGCTCTTCTAGAAGCTCATTCACAGCTGCACTTGATACAAGAAAATAATTTTCTAATTTAAGTAGGACTGAGGCAAGTTTTAATTCAATATCTGTCGAAACTGTTGATTCTTCATCAGGAAGTTCTTCAGATGGCAAATTCAACTGATCAGTAGTACCCGTTTCAAATGATTCTACAACATCATACCCATCAACAATTCCAGGCTTGAAATCATTAAGTGTATGTGGGGTATGCTTCCTCCATTTGTGAGTATTGAAAGCTCCGTAATGATTTGTTTTGTATGAGCAACCAGAAAACATACAATTTACAAATTCATGATTTTTCAAATGCTGCCTGATATGTTGAAAATAGTCTGGCTCAGTAGAATGCAGATTGTTGTCGCAAACATGGCACTTGAGTGTTGAAAATCTATTGTTCTGTGAAGATTGTTGAGCAGAATGGAATTTGCTTAGATGAGTGAGTAGAGCTTTCCATGTCTTGCATGTGCATGGGCAATTCTCATGAATACAGGGGTAGGCACGACCCCGCCCATAATGCTGATGATCAAGCTTGTAGTGTTTCAAAAGTTCCGATCTTCTTGAAAATGAATTGTCACAGTCTTTACATTTCCACATGCATGGATAACTGAGGAAACAGGAGATACAAGAGATACCTTTAGTGTACCGAGTAGACAACGCTGTAACTTTTTGTAAGTGATTTGGTAGAAAATTGCTCTGCTTGATGTGTCAAAATCGATTGAACATGTTTGCCAGAGCCCAATTTGAAGGGTGGCCTGATTATAGCGAATACCCTCATGACATTTTTTTTTTTTTTTTTTTTAAACTTACCACAAGCAATGACCATTCACAGGAACATCCACATGGGTAGAACAGTAGGAATAGACGGCTGCTTCCCTGAAGTGAGAAAACCTTTCATTAGTCTTTAATTAGCCATCAAAGTGTCTAAGCTACAAGAAGATCATTGACATATTAAAAATATATCAAACATTAAACTTAAATTCGTTACTCAAAGCCTATACTTTATTTTAGGACAGTGGTCAACATTTTGGTGATGTAAAAATATATAACACAATGTTGTAAACTAACGTTACATTTACAATATCTTTATCAATTGAACTCGAAAATTCAAATATAAGTCGCTCGTCAATATGAAAGAAGCCCACTTACTCTGTCCTTAAATTGAAGTTTAACACCAGAATTTCTACTCTGGTAATAAATACAAATTCATAGTCTTATCTATTTATTTAAAATAGAAAACATGAAGCCCGCCTGTTCATACTGTTTACAGGCCACCAAGCCTCAGTTAAGAAAAGTTAAAGTTGATACTTAATGTTTGTGTGAGTATATCTGCCTTTGAATCTGGCCATGACTCATGCCGAGCGCTGCTAACGCTAACGCTAGCATGCTTTATTCAAAAATTGACTTTAGCCTTTAGTCGAATTGGAGTCATGGGTACAGTCCGCTAGCTCAGTTAAGAACATTTAACGTTACAGTTAATGTCGTGTTGAGAAGTATATGCTCTGCTGAGTGTTCTTCACTGGATAATGTGTGGTCTGAATAAAGCATGCTAAACGTTAGCGCATGCTAAACGTTAGCGCAAGCTTTTACAGCCTACTCAGTCAGAGTCACGGCCAGACACACGTAGGCTAACGTTTCCCATAAATAACGTTACCTTTTCTTAACTGAGCTACCGGACTGTAGTAACGTTAGCCACCCATAACTCCAAGCGGGCTAAAGCTAATCTCTGAATAAAGCATGCTAGCGTTAGCTTATAAGGGCTATCAACAGCCGGTCAGAGTCAACGGAAGATATACTCAGACAAACGTTAATGTTTCGGTATGTGAAATTATATTATATATATATATTAATATTATTTTATCCTTACCAGTATCACATGTGCTCGTTTTCCAAGTGTCTGGATGAAGTCTGCTGGTTAGCTCCACCGAACTGCGAAAGACAGCGTGTGTACTGCCAGAACATTCTGTGTGCGGTGTCATCAATGCAATGCGCATGCATAAATTAAGCTTGATTTAATAAAACTACATTGAACAAATGAATGGTTTCAGTTTCAATGTCCTTCTGTCAGTTTATATTCTATCAATATAAAACAATAGGTTCAACCATAAATATAAATCAGGAATATTAGTTTAAATAATGAAACTAATAATTTAAAATTATTTGAGTGAGAATAAACACATCAAACGAACAACCACTATGTTTTACTTTTATCAGTGTAAATGGAGCCGTGGAAAATAATAAACAGTCAAAATAGAGGACCCTTTGCTGTTAAGACAGTCCTAGGTTGGGTTGTGAATGGACTGAATCAGGAAACCACTGAATCTGAGAATACTTCATGTGCTGTTGTTAATCGGATATCAGTGACAGGTTTAAGTGAGCTGCTGGTGCAGCAATACAATCATGACTTTCCAGAGAAACGTTGTGATGAGAAGAAAGAGATGTCAGTTGAAGACAAACAATTCTTAAAGATCATGTCAGATTCAGCTGAAATCAAAGATGGACATTATCAGCTTGAACTTCCATTTAAACAGAAGAATATCATGATGCCAAACAATCGCAAACTTGCAGAGCAGAATCATTAAAAAAGGAAATTCAAAAGGAACAAAGTTTTCCATGATGAATATAAAACATTCTTGGAGGCTGTGATAGCAAAAGGTCACGCTCAGCTACTGCCCCAAGAGCAGCTCAAACCTGAGAGTGGAGATATGTGGTGCATACCACATCATGGGGTTCATCACCCAAAGAAGGGCAAGATTTGTGTAGTGATCGATTGTTCTGCATCTTATCAAGGATATTCATTCAATGAAAAGTTTATTCAGGGTCCCAATCTTACCAACACGCTACTTGGTGTGCTCATTCGATTCAGACAAGAACAAATAGCTTTCATAGCTGATTTCGTGGGGATGTATCATCAGGTCAAGGTGGCTCCTGCCGATCAAGATTATCTTCGCTTTCTTTGGTGGCCAGGAGGAGATGTCAGTTTACCTCTCGCTGAGTACAGGATGACAGTACATCTATTTGGTGCCACTTCATCAGCAAGTTGTGCAACCTATGCTCTTACTAAAACCGCTGCAGGTGCTGATCTCTCTCTCTCTCTCTCTCTCGCGTCCGGTTATACTTCACTCGCGTTTATGTCCAAATCCATCAGATCTAGCTAGTTTTAGCTAATGATATGGCTGCTGCCCCTCCCTACACGCAGATCACGCAGACTCAAACCTCATCTTATGCCCAAATTCCAGCTGAGAGGGTCTTCTCTATAGCTGGCCTGATTGTGAATCGCCTCCGCACCCGCCTCTCCGCTGAGCATGTAGACATGCTCATATTCTTAAACAAGAATGAGTATTGAATAGCTGCATTCTGTGCATAGGCCCTGTTATAGGTTGTTGATCTCTGTTGTAATAGGGTTACGTTACCCTAACCGGTTATGTTGTTCGTGTATGATCCCTCTTTAATTTAAAAACCAAGTTATGTTTTAAGCATGAAAGCTGTAGGCCTATAGCTGTCAACTGTTCAAACTGTGATCACCAGTTCAATACATTTGACAAATTCGACCAAATCGAATAAAGCTGATTGAGAAGGAGATGAGAGTGTTTAATGACTCTATGAGAGGTCTCACAATCTCCAAGGATAACTTGGATAAGGCTGAAGCAGCAGTGTTGTGTTCTTTTGTGTCTTTTCCAGAGGAAGTGGACACTTTGAAAAGGGGAAAACCTATCAAAGGAAGTAGTGCACTGTATAAATTGGATCCAGTGTACGAGAATGAACTGGTAAAGGTTGGAGGAAGGCTAAATAAAATGGCAATGCCTGAGGAAGCAAAGCACCCAACCATTCTTGGAAAACACCACCATGTCTCTAAAACTATACTTCGAGATATTCATCAACAAGTTGGTCACAGTGGAAGGAATCATGTTATCCAGGTTAAGACAAAAATACTGGATACCATGTGCCAATGCATTAGCCAGAAAAATTATATCTGAATGTACTGGGTGTATCTCAATGTCGAGGAAAGCTGCTCCAGAGCCACTATTTCAAGGATACTACGTCATCGAGTGCCGCCGAAGGACTGTTCCAATGTCCAGGATACTTGGAATTCTACCGAGGCCGGCGTCCTTCGTTGAGGGAAATTTCGAGGCTGCACATGTGTAGCCTCTGCGGTCTTAAAATCCCCACAATGCTTAGTTTGCGGACGGACCAATTTCCAAAATCTTTGGCGGAAATCGCGCTCCATTTAAGGCGGGGCCTCGCATATGACGCACACCTGCACACCTGTTAGCCTGTTCCACCATTCTTCGTTTTCCGAGGCTAGGAAGGATTTTTGCCTCGCTTCAGAAGGAAGTGACTCGGAGGGACTTGTTCTACCAAGGAAGCGTCCTCTACATTGAGAAACACCCACCGTGTGCAGACGCATGCATGGAAATGCAGGAGAACAAAACATTTCAGATCTGCCAACAGACAGAATTATACCAGACCTACCACCATTCACATATGTTGGAGTGGATTACTTTGGCCCCCTGGAAGTGAAAAGAGGACGAAGCATTGTGAAACGATATGGAGTTATCTTTACCTGTCTAACAACCAGAGCGGTGCACTTGGAAGTAGCTCATTGGTTGGATACAGATTCATGCATTAATGCCTGCAGACGTTTCATCAGCAGAAGAGGCCAAGTATTGGAGATGAGGTCAGACAATGGGACTAATTGCGTTGCCACTGAAAGATAGCTGAAGGAATCTATAAAAGAGTGGAATCTGAGCAAAATAGAACAAGCCCTCCAGCAAAACAGGGATGCAAACTCATCAGGTATGAAAAAGGTGACAAGGATCTGAGCCCCCAAACCCCACGGAATATCGGCTTTAAAATGAGGAATAACAGAGGATTTTAGCAGTCAGAACAACTAAAGCAGTTCATAATAACAGAAATGCCAAAGAGTCACATCTAATAGAAATGTATAAAAGCATTTATTTTAATTGTGTAGCAGTCAGTTTATAATTTTGGCAGCACTGTTGAGCATTTTGAAAATGTATTTTCATGCCTCTGTGCAAGGATTAGTCTTTCTATCTTTATAGCCAGTGGTGTAAAGTAACTAAGTTCATAAACTCAAGTACAATTTTGAGATACTTGTACTTTATTTAAGTATTTCAATGTGTTGCTACTTTGTTCTTCTTCTCCTCTACAGTTCAGAGGTAACTGGTGTACTTTTCCTCCACTACATGTATTTAATACCTTTAGTTACTTTACAGATGTGGATGAATGATGTGAAATATAATCAAGTGTTAAATCAGACTTTAGTTCCACCTGGAGTAAATCCACAAGCTACCCTGCAGTATACAAAGTCATTCAAACTAGATGCACCTTTACCAGCTTTGAGAACACTTTCATGATCAATCATTATAAAACACATCATATATATTATTCTGAAATGGACCAATCTGCACAATGACTACTTTTACTGTCTCTACTTTCACTATATTTTGATGATAATACTTTTATACTTTTACTTGAGGAACATTTTGAATGCAGGACTTTTACTGTAACAGAGTATTCCCACACTCTGGTACTTCTACCTTTACTCAAGTACAAGATCTGAGTGCTTCTACTTTTACTCAAGTACAAGATACTTATACCACCTCCGTTTATAGCCTATGAAAACAACTATTTGAAAACGAAGGCTAAAGCTAACGTTAGCAGATAGTGACAATGTATGCTAGTTAGCTAGCTCAACGATTCCTTAAATAATATTGCGACAGAAAAACTTTTCAGTGCACATCACGCTCTGCCGCTCCGACAGGGAGCTCTGCTCTGAACACCTGAACGGCCCGTTCAGCTGTTCACCAGCGGTCCAGTCTGTGCCACAGTGACTCCGGACCGCACAGTTAATATTAACGAACGCACCGTAGGTAATGTAGCTGCTGAAGCTAGACCCTCATCCCGGAGCAGCAGAGCCTTATTATACATCCATGAGCAGAGCCGACAGGCAGGAAGACTCGAGCACACAGCTCGCGCTTCATTATAATATATTAAAAAAGAACACCATGCATGTCATGATGGCACATAACAGCTCGTGGCCGCAGATTACTCCGGGTCCCAGACCCCCCCCATACCCCAAAAATATTTGTATTGCAGATCTACATGAATCACACAAACGACCTATTTTGGATTCAAAACGGCGAATTTCGCCGAAAGGTGACAAGTTTGCATCCCTGGCAAAAGGATGTGAAATGGACCTTCAATCCTCCTTACGGAGCACATCATGGCGGAGTATGGCAAAGACTAATCTGGCTTGTAAAGAAAATTCTGCTATGCATCACAAAACAACAAACACTTGACGACGAAAGCCTTTCAACAGTTCTGTGTGAAGTTGAAGGAATTCTCAACAGCCGACCAATAACTACAGTGTCAAATGATCCAAATGACTTGGAACCTCTCACACCAAGCCATTTGCTGCAGTTCAAGGTCAAACCTGCGTTGCCCCCAGGCTTATTCCATCAGCAAGATACATACTCAAGTGCAGTACATAGCAAATTTGTTTTGGGCCAGATGGATCAAAGAATATACCACTTTTGCTAGAAAGACAGCAATGGAATCTCATTAACCGGTTTAGCCCGAGAGCCCCCGGTAGAGGGGGCTGCAGGTTTGTTTTTTTTCCACAAAACTGTTTTTAATATTTCAAAACCTATTAATGTGTCATACTAGATTAACGGGAATAAACTCAGCTAACTGACAGTACGAACCATTTTTACCAAAACAAAAACACAAGTCTCATAAGAAGCGTCTAAATGACCCCTGAGCGGAAATATGCTTACGCACAAGGCATTAGCATTAGCCCCGCGCACCAACGGAGAGAGAATAACTTATGGCAACACACAAAAAAACATGGTAGCGGTGGAGTGATGAGGAGGTGTCGGT